ATGCAAAGTCTTTTTCTTTTATTTTCTTATTTGTGGGTTTTCCCTTTTATACCCTTATAGGTTTTCTAGCCACCAATATAAATACATGTGTATTGTTCTCAAGGGTTGCAATGAAAAATGAATATTGAATGCCAATTCTTAGCCGCCATATAGGGCACTTACGTTCTTGAGATATCAAATCAGATCTGAGCTGAAATTCTTCATGGTATCAAGAGCCTGATTTTTTGCTTCATCTTTAAGCTTTCTTTTTCTTCTTCTCTTCAGCATGGCCTTTACCACACCAGGCAACTCCTCTTTTGCAAATCAAAATGGAGCTGCAAGTCAGCTCGTTTTCCCTCAGTCTCAACTCATCACTCTCAAACTTGAAGATTCAAACTTTCTTATCTGGAAACAACAGATTCTCACTGCCATACGAGGCTATGGGCTGGAATCGTTCATTTCTGCTACTACAAGCCCACCTGACAGGTTCATCACACCTGAAGAGGGAAATCTCCCTATGCTCAACCCTGAATATGATATTTGGCAAAGGCAGGACCAGCTCTTAGCTTCATGGATTTTGTCTTCTCTTAGTCAAGGTAACCTCATTTTGGTGGTTGGTCTCTCTAGTTCTAAAGAAATCTGGAATGCCTTAGAGAAGAATTTTGCAAGTCAGTCAAGGGCTAGAATAATGCAACATAAACTCGAGTTACAGACAATGAAAAAAGGAAACATGACCATGAGAGAGTACTTGAACAAAATGAAGACTTGTTTTGATCTCTTAGCTGCTGTTGGTGAAAGAATCTCATAATCAGATCAGATCTTGCATGTGTTGAGTGGTCTGGGCCAAGACTATAACTCCATTATGGTAGCTGTCACCTCAAGACTTGAACCCTGGTCCATGATGGATCTCCAAGCATTGCTTTTGAGCTATGAGTCAAGGCTTGACTTCATGACCACAAACACTCAGCAGATCAACACAGATGGATCACAACCCACTCTCAATGTAGTCTCAAAAGGACCAAACAACTCTAACCAGGAGAACTTCACAAACAACAGAAGAAGAAGTCAATCCTTCAACAAAAACAATAACTAGAGAGGAAGAGGTGGTAGGAGAGGCACTTACAGAGGAAGAGGAGGAAGATTCCAATCATCAAGAGTAACTTGCCAAGTCTGTGGCATTCCTGGTCACACAGCAGATAGATGCTGGCATAGATTTGATCAATCCTACACACCAAAACAATCCTCTCAACAAAATTCCTTCAACAGAAACATGTCTCAGCCTGCATTGAACATGGTCCAAACTCCTGGTAGCTCATCTAACAATTCTGAGATTGGTATTGATAATGGAATATGGTACCCTGATTCTGGATCATCAAACCATGTCACCAATGACTTTTCAAATCTGAGCTTAGAAAGTGAATACCTTGGGAACAACAGGCTGCCAATGGAAAATGGCATGGGTGAGCCTATTTCCTTTATTGGTGCAAGCCGAGTTAAATCCTCTCTTACCAACAAAATGTTTGTATTAAAAAATCTTCTTCATGTTCGAAGTGTGACAAAGAACCTGATATCAGTTTCTCAATTTGCAAAGACAATGGTGTATACTTTTAATTTCACCCAAATGTTTGCTTTGTGAAGGACCAAACCACTCAGGATGTTCTACTCCAAGGGAGACTCAATGAGGGGCTGTATCAGTTTAACTTACATCCTACCAGTAGTAAGCAAAGGATTCAAGAAGAAGGGAATGAAGTTATCTCACCAGTGGCAGGTTTAATTAGCTTTCCAAGAAAATGCAGTTTAGAACTGTGGCATAAGAGGTTAGGCCACACTGCATAAGATGTAGTTGTTAAAGCCTTAAACTCTTGTAGTTTAAATTATGATTTGAATGAGAGACATGATCCTTGTTCAATATGTGCTGTGGCTAAAAGTCACAAACTGCCTTTTGAAATTTTTGAGACTCAATATTTACAGCCTTTACATCTTGTGCACTCAGACTTATGGGGTCCTGCACCAATTTAGTCAAGTAATGGATATAGTTATTATGTTTGTTTCATTGACCACTTCAGTATGTTCACATGGGTGTATTTTATGAAACAAAAGTCAAAAGTTCATGACATCTTTCTACATTTCAAAGCCATGGCAAAAAAACAGTTTAACTTGCCTCTTAAGATATTTCAAAGTGACTGGGGAGAAGAATACAGGTCATTAACTTCATACATGGAACAGAATGGAATAGTGCATAGAATCTCTTGTCCACACACTCCTGAGCAAAATGGAGTTGCAGAAAGGAAGCATAAACACCTTGTGGAAATGGGCCTATCTCTCCTTGCTCAATCTCATTTACCAACAAGGTTCTGGGATGATGCAATAGCAGCAGCATGTTATACAATTAATAGAGTTCCAGCAAAGGGTTTAAAGTTCAAAAGTCCCTTGGAAATGTTGCACAACCATAAGCCAAACTACAACAGCCTCAAAGTCTTTGGATGTTTGTGCTTTCCTCATCTCAGAAGTTTCAACAAGAGCAAATTGGAATTGAGGTCTCAGCCCTCAACTTTTATTGGGTACAGTAACTCACACAAGGGATATAAAGTTCTTCTCCCAAATGGCAAGGTAATCATCTCAAGGCATGTGGTCTTCCATGAAAATATTTTTCCCCATGCTCAACAAACAGCCAAGCAGCAAGTGCCACATGAGGACACTGATCCAAACATAGGAAGTCCACCTTTGATTCCTCAGAAAAGAATAAGCAATCCTCATTACCACACACAAAATACCCAAGCTCCTTCATCTCAGTCCTCAAAAACACACCTTACACATCATACCTCACCACACAACTCTCAGTCCTCAAAAACTAACAGCACAGTTCCCTTATATGTGAATCTCCCTATTTCTACCTCTAAGACACCAGAAAACCAAACTCACATTGATCCCAACAGCAACCAGAACAGACATCCTATGGTGACTAGATTGAGAGCATGAATCTTAAAACCAAGAGCTCTAACTAGCATGGTTGAGGAAAATGAACCAAGCTGCTTATCAGATGCTCTTAACTCAGAAAGATGGAAACAAGCCGTGAGAGATGAGTATGAGGCCTTAATGAGGAACAAGACTTGGTTTTTCACCACTCCACCACAAGAAAAAAACATTGTGGGTTGCAAATGGGTCTTCAAAGTTAAAAGAGATGCTAATGGGGCAGTGAGTAGATACAAAGCTAGACTTGTAGCTCAAGGTTTTTCTCAAACAAAGGGATTTGACTTTCAAGAGACTTTCAGTCCAGTTGTTAAACATACCACCATCAGAATTTTTCTCAGTAAATCAACCTCTTTTGGTTGGCCAGTCAGACAGCTAGACATTAACAATGCCTTCCTCAATGGAGAACTCTCTGAAGACATATACATGATGCAACCACCTGCCTTTGAAAGGGAGTTAGAAGTTCCTCTAGCCTGCAAATTGACTAAGTCTATCTATGGCTTAAAACAGGCATCTATAGCCTGGTTTTTGAAAGTGAAAAGCACCTTACAGAGGTTTGGCTTTGTTTGTTCTAAAGTAGACAACTCATTGTTTGTGAAATTTCAAGGGAAAACTGTCCTATATCTTCTGATCTATGTTGATGATATATTAATTACTGGCAACAACACTGATGCGATCAACAAACTCATAGGACTCCTTGGTAAGAAATTTTCCCTCAAAGACATGGGACAATTACAACACTTCTTGGGAATAGAGATCAGCAAAACAAATGATGGAATCTTCTTATGCCAAAAACAGTATGCTCAGGAGCTTCTTCAGAGAGCATCAATGGCCAAAGCCAAGGGAATTGCCACTCCTATGGCTACCTCAACACAGCTTAGCAAATATGAAGGAACAAGCTGCACCAATGGGACTCTTTTCAGAAGCATAGTGGGTGGTCTGCAGTACTTGACCATCACAAGACCTGAATTGGCATACAGTGTCAATAAGATCAGTCAATATATGTCAAATTCCTTAGACACACATTGGAAAAGCATAAAAAGGATCTTGAGATATGTGGCAGGCACCTTGAACTTTGGCATGAACATTACAAAATCTCAGAATTTTGGCCTTGTGGGTTTTTCAGATTCAGACTGGGGCTCTGATCTTGATGATAAGAGGTCAACAATAGTATATTGCATCTTCTTTGGAGGTAATCTCATTTCATGGAGTTCAAGAAAACAGAATTCAGTTTCAAAATCTAGTGCTGAGGCAGAATACAAAAGTCTGTCCCATGCTTGTGCTGATATGATGTGGATTGTCTCTCTTCTCAAGGAACTAAGGATTCAGCAACCTTTTACACCTGCTATATGGGTAGACAATCAGAGTGCTATAGCATTAGCCTCATATCCCATTCTCCACTCTAGAACCAAACACATTGAACTGGATTATCATTTTGTAATGGAAAAGGTGGCAGCACGGCTACTAAATGTCCATCACATTCCTAGCTCTGAACAGGTTGCAGACATTCTGACAAAACCGCTAAGTGTGCAATTCTTCACTCGGTTGCGTGCTAAACTCAAGGTCTCACCTTGCTCCCGGTTCGAATTGAGGGGGGCTGTTGAAACTCAAGAAGAATAGTCAACATGTCTCTTGTATTTTGTTTTATGTCCATGCATGCAAAGTCTTTTTCTTTTATTTTCTTATTTGTGGGTTTTCCCTTTTATACCTTTATAGGTTTTCTAGCCACCAATATAAATACATGTGTATTGTTCTCAAGGGTTGAAATGAAAAATGAATATTGAATGCCAATTCCTAGCTGCCATGTACGGCACTTATGCTCTTGAGATATCAAATCAGATCTGAGCTGAAATTCTTCAGTAGGTGAGCATTAAATGTCAATTCAAACTTGAGTCTTGAGGACCAAGTACAAAAGCCCTAATGTTACAAGACTTGGGCCAAATAGACTAGTGAGTGTTGGAACCCATGAGGATCTCGATATGCACAAATCACAGACAAACATTCAACATAAACCTATGCGCAGCGGATCTAAAGGTTTGATGAAGAAAACTTACTGCTTAAAATTTATGTAGATCTGGCTGGCCCTAACAGTTGACCGCAAATCAAATCTTCTCGAAATCGAACAATCTTGACCAATCCGGAAAGCTGAAGTCACGGCGAAGTCAATGGCGTTGACCGATCGGAAATCGGAGGTCACACGCTCTCTCACGCGCCGGTGCAAGCCCCAGCAGCAGACTCCTCCCGGCGGCGCGTGTGGGCGCGTGCGGCGGCGTACGGCGGCGATCTCGACGGCGAGCTCTTCGTCTCGTCGTCCTGGTCGTCGTGGTATGGTCACTTGCTGGTTTTGGTCTCCAGTTTTGGTGTATGATCGGAATCTCTGTATACCTTAAGATCTTCTACTGTATTCTCAAACAGCTTTCTAGATCTTGAATCAGTGGAACACAAGAAATAGAAGAACTCCTTGGAAGAGAGAGAAGGAGAGCTGGA